TTTATCATCTCTATAATATATTTTAAATTATGTAAAAATATAGAAAATAAAAATAGATAGTGTGTATTAACATCAGGTGATTCGTGGAGATAACTGACCAATTTTTTTAAATTTACTCTGAAAAAAAATACCAATAAAATATGTAAAGCTCAGTTTCACTTATATTGTTTTGCAGTTAAGTAGGTACATACTATATTATACTAGTTTGTCAAGCCAACATTTAGAGCGTGCACCGTGTAATATTATCATTTATGATGACGGACTGTATTTGTAAAGTTGTTTAGCATCTGTTGGCTGACTTATATAAATTATTATGTGAAACATCAGATATAGCTACTATTTGGTCCTCGTACGTCAAACCTCAGATTCACCAATTTAATATATTTAATTTATTTTCGTCGATTTTCGAATATATAGTTGCAGCAATAGTCATTTGTATTGGTCGTTCGTCACGAATAATACGCAATATAATTTTAATGGTGTTGCGTTTTTTGCAAGTCGTCATAAAAATGTTAAGTTTACGTCATAGTTTTGCATTTGACTTACTTACCATAATATTTTTTTCTATATTTTATTTTTTAATTGTTCGAACGTTTTTTTGAAATATTTATAACTCTGTTTACTAGTATTATTGGCGTTCGGCGCAATCATTTACGATGGTTTTCTGTCACAACCACGCCATGACCACAAGAATATTATTTTGTTTTCGGTTTATTTTATTAAACCGATCGCGATGCAAACTTTAGCACAGTTTGTTATTAAATAGAGCCAATAATATCGATATGGCTCAAATTCGCTTAGTCGAACATTTAACATATTTTATACTCAATAGTTAATATTATTATCGACATTAACGGCTAAAACTGCGTGTAAATATTGTACTTTGTTCGACAACACTTGGTTATATTTTTTTTTTCAAGTCAGAAAACGAAAAGAATTTTGAAAACTATTTTTACGCGTGAAGAAACTGTGTGGGATTGAAAATATTTGGTGCTCGCTATGTGCGTTGTCAACAAAATATTATTTAGAAATCCCGTCATTGAAGCACCAGCAGCAGTTGACTTTTCTTTGTCGTATAATATAGTTTCATCATAAAACCTTTTATTAAAAATAAAATGAATCTTTAAGCGCGTTGGTATTATTTCATCACCCTATCATTAAATTTAAAGACGCTAATATTTTATAAAAACAGATTATATATATTATATTATGTATATACAAAAGTATATCTTCTTCTGAATTTATCATCGAGAAGTCAAACATAGAATTATTGCCGGAGATATTGAAAAAAATAATACTCGTAGAGGTGAAACGTGTGATTTTAAAATAATAATAAATCGCTTTTAATAACATTTGTTTGCGATATAAGTATTATAATGAGTATATTATTATTATTATTAGTTTGACGTACTATAATTCTTACTACTGTAGTTAGATAGTATGTAGCCTTATATAGGTATCCGTTTATATATATTATATTATTATTTATTGAATGAGGCTTGGGAGTAGTTTTTATAAGCAATGAAATTTAATTTTTTAAATTATTTTCCAAAAATACAAAACTCAGTAATTCGTACAACTAGACGAGGAGACCATATTGTATGAGTGTAGTACATAGTTATTTGAGTAGAAGAAAAAGCTAATGGAAGAGACTTTAAAAAAACAAATATATACAATCACTATACGTTCTAAATGCATTTAGAATTTAAAACGCTAACTAGTGCCAACTGACAATTACCGTTTCCCCTAAAACATTCATATGATTGTTGAGATTGGTTATACATTTAAAAATAAGCTTAAATCCACCGTTTAACGACGCCAAAAAAAACAAAACAATTTTCGATGTTTTAGCAGCGTTAAATCAATATACGTTTGAATTTAATAATCTATGTGTATTATATATTTATTTATTAGATTTTGGTGTAAACAACAGTGCAGGGGTGGTATATTCGTTCAGTATTTAGGATTTTATTATAATATATACAATAGACATCCGTTAAAATTATAACCAGATCTGTGAATTTAAAGCATTTACGTATTTTTCTCTACTTAGTAGAATGACTTTTAGCTTGTTTAACATTTTCTCTTACTTCATACTAATGAAGTATTATATTAATTGGCATATTTAACAATATTTATTGACTACCGTCTATTATTGTATACACCAGCATGATTGAATATACAATTCAATATTATTACCTATAAACAAGTTATATTTTGTATTATTTATTTCAATGATATTATTGATCAATATTTTAAACTATTATTTAAATAAGTTGATTTTGCATGAAATTGCTTGTTTTAGTGATTTATTTTAATTTAGCTTATTTAATGTTTTTTTACTACGGTAAATCCACAGATCTACTCCAAATTATTTGACAGACGCAATATAATTAAGCAAAGAATCATTAGAATCTGTTATCAAAGTATAATAATTAAGTTTCGCAAACCAGAGATGATGAAGCTAGGTATGTCTTTACTTAAATGTATGTATTTACATTTTAATAAATTATTATTTAATTTTAAAATTTCAAGTTCAAGTGGTACAGGTGTTGTTGGGCAAACACTTTTATAATATACTCTTATTATTATGACTTGACATTACGACGTCAAACTGTCTTACACGAAACACCGCTTCATGAACTCGTCGTGGAGGCCACTACAAGAGCATACTGTTATATAGGTAAATACGTAAATACAGATCAAATAAGGATGGAGTATTTAAAAACGAGACCATAATGGTCAGATAATCAGCATAGAGAAGGGGCAAGGACGGTTTTTAGTTGTTTTTTTTTTTGGCAAAAACACAGAGTAATAATATAATTTTTCCGACGTATAGAAGAAAATATTATTTGGCAAACCGTTTTCAGGTTGAGGTCAAGTGTTTTTCATCAGACTAATCACACATTGGCCTTGTCGGGTTCACAACGCCATTTAGGAAAATAATACAATATAAAAACACCAGTAAATATTGCGATTGCTCTCCGCTAGTGTATTATTGGATGCACGTCTTGTCTGCAGCAGATGACAAGTGCTATAAACTGTTGTATAGACGCATATAGGTTTTGTGAAATTTGCATAGTATAACATAATACTATTATTTCGTATGAACTATTACCTATCATTATTCGTTTTCGGTTAGTAAGGTGTTACGATGAAAGTACCCAACGAGTTTATTTAAAGATACTTTTGCATTAGGTTTACGATGGTGTCTTTGATACTGTACCTAGTACCTAGTTCATTTGATACATTCTTCATTGGGATTCACAGGTTTCTACGTAGAAAGCAAAATACTTCTAAAAATATTGATGTACATTAATGTTGAATAATAAGCAAGTTATTTTATTTTATTAATGATCATTTAAAGTTATGATTGGTGGAGCATTCTTTAGAAAATGTTTTGCTTCCCGAAGAAATGAAGAAGGTAAAAATTTGGTTTTTTTTTTGTAAAACTGAAGTAGTACTATAAATACATTAAGTAATTGTTTTAATACCATAAATGTAAATTTTGCAGAACTAAAGTAGTTTCAGTTAAACAGATTACCATGACGTGTACGCAACAATAATAAGTATTAATTATAATTAATAAAGTACCAGTGTATACTAAGTGCATATTAATATATTATACATACTATTTTTATAAAACCTCCTGCTTAATAAGCTATTAATACGTGTGTCATAATACATAAAAATATTACCAACTATGGAAACTGATAAATTACCCGCAAATCATGTACACGGGTTGCGAACGCGTTGGACTCGATTTATATCGTTGTTAAAAATATTTAAAAAAAACAACGATCAATCAAGCAAAAATCGGAAGCGTAAACCGTTTATCGAACCGTACTTGTATACCTGCAGTATATCGTGTATACTTTGTGCAATATATTTCATATTATTATATATACGTATGAAAGGCCAAATCATAATTAATTGGAAAATTGTGGGTTTATTTTCTCTCTCAAAAAATACAAAAACAAGCGTGCAACAATTGCTGGAGCGTCACGCGCAATCGAAACGTACTCACGCCCCCGCGAAGTTTACTGATGGAGGGTAATATCTATACCTCAGTTAAAATTTCACGGTCGTACGTTTTCAAACCAATATTATTTATTACTTATAATGTATAGTTATATAGAACTCATCGGGTATAATGTTCTTGAAACATATTTTTTTTAATTAGCCATGTTACGAACCCTGATTTTGAGGTTCATTCGATTCCAAACTGAACCAAACTTATTTTTCATCTTGAATTAAAGTATAAAAAACACCAATTTTATAGTAACAGTATAATAAGTACGTAGTCGTCGATTATTATTATGACATATATACAAAAATATAATATTATTAACATAAAAACAATACTGTTTTAATTCTTGTTCCAGTTTAAATGTATTTTTCGATGAATCGAGTACCTAAAGAACAGTTCTTACAACGTACATTGAAGATATTTTGATAAATATGATTTTGCTAAAATTTTTAGCTGGAAACACGTTTAAAAAAAAACAATGGAAAACGGCTAACGGGTCATTCTAAATGAAGGGTTAAATAAATGTATGGGGCTTTTACCCAAGAGAACCCGTATAGGTTCACTCTGTCTCCGCCATTTTATTAGGAGAATTTAAATCGTAGATCGGCGGTCATTAGTCTTTAATCTTTACCTAGGTCGAGCGCATGTGTGCGAATTAGATTATCGTCCACTCTACAGCAACGATAACGGAATGTGTGAAATAATCGATACAATATTTTACAATCGAAACGATATGTCGATTTTAAATTTAAAACAGTAAATGTAGCATATATTATATCGAAATTGTTTTATTTTTGATTGGAAAGGCGATCAGAAAACAGATGGAAAACAGCAAACAGATAAGTTTAAATATAAGAAAGGGTTTCGTGGAATTCGGTGGGAACTGAACCCGGAAAATTCCATGTAGGTACTGCACCCGTACCTCCACTACATCACTAGGTGACTTTAATCGTAGATCTGTGGACGTTACCTGTAGCGAGCGCGTGTGCGCGAATCCACTTTTCGTCCTTGTCACAGCAACAACATAAAACGATATGACGTCGTCTCGCGGGCTGCCGAGTGAAGAATGTCTTAGCTGCAGCGATTGACTGCAGTAATCACAGTTTCGCTGTCGGAGATACCGCGCGTTCCTAGACAATATATCGCGGTTATGGGTCTACGCCGCAAGCACGAGGCAAATGCTTTTTCGTAATTCGTTTTATTCGTAAGTACTCCAAACACAAAAGACAAACTGATGCGGTGCTGCAGTGGCTGTACGGATGTTGGCTGTCCGCTGCAAGTGGCCGCCGCGAATCGTCGTCGGGCCTGCGCTCGTCCGTCCTCGCTTTCTTCCGTTCTCCCCGTCCGTCTGACTGGTGTTTATAAATAATCCACGCGTATGCGGCTGTCCGTCTTCTCACGGCGCGTTTAATTTTAAATTTTAATCCATTTCGAGTTCGCCAACCCGATCGCGGGCGCCGAGTCATTGTCGCCGTCGTTGCCGTGTGTTATATAATAATAATAATAATAATAATAATAATAATAGTAATAACAAAATTATAATATTATGAAATGTAGATACGTCGTCACTTGAACTTCAAGGAATCACACGCTTTTCAACCAAAAATGTTTTACATATTTTGGCAAGTTTTTACTCAGCATAGTCTATGTTCTATACCATGCTTACCCAGTGTATACTGAACGTTTATCGCAATAATAGAAAAAAAAAATGCATAGTTTTACTATGAACAGTCCAATCATAAAATTTATTGATTACACAACCAAGAGTACCTACATAATGACTGTTATCATAGTTGTTTAAGTTAATTGAGACGAAAAAATGTGTTAAGAAAATGAAGAATATATTTTATATTTTCAATTCGTATATTTTCCATTTTCGAAAGATAACTTTTAATTTTTTCTGTCCAAATAATAATAATAATAATAATAATTTTGATTTAATATAAAATACAATTTTTTTCTTTAAATCGTTAACATTTTGTGTAAAACATCTGGTGTAATAATGTATATACCAATAATGTCTTCATCGACCTTTCAAATTGTAAGGCATTATGATATAACTCTCAATTTTTCACTTTGATCTTAACACTTTTTTCACACATGCAACAGTTTAAGTAGTTATAAATTAAATGTATTACTCAAGTATAGCGCTACATCACAAGAACTTCATAATAGGGATCATCGAAAAAATTTTGTTCTTGAATTTCGATAAATATGCCATGACGACTACATTGGCAAACTACTAACGTTTCGTTGTGTGGTCAACTTGCTCTAGAAGAAGGAGAAAGAAAGATATCATTAAAATTTTAGGTAGTTACAGAAATGAAGACCAAGCATTTTATCCTTTTGAATTGCCATGTATTACAATAATTGAAATTTCAATCATTTTTTCGATGTGTTAAATGGTTCCCACCAGAGTTACATGTATTACTAAAGTACATTTATTATGCAAATAAATGAAATAAGTTAGTTCAGGAAAATGTATAAAATTACTCCAAATTAAGCCTTGTGTCCATCAGAGGTAAGAAAATGCATGGGGCATTGAAGCAACATTAAAGATGAAACATTGATATTTGTGACCGAAATCGGTTTTCAATAAAAGGTGTTTTGTAATCAAAAACAGTGTTGAGAAAAATAAGATAAATATATCTAAATGAATTATCTAGATAAATAATTAATTATCTTTTGTCTTATACCTAAAGCTATTATATTTAAATGAACTCTCGCGTTATCTTAACTGTATCATATAAATAAAACAAAACTTTAAATAGAATAGTATTTTAAATAAAAGTCGAGAACCAGTAGATAAAAACAAAATAATAGTTACAAAACACAAATGCATCTGATTATTGAAATTTATATGGATTTTCCAAAAATGTACATGTAAATTTACAGTTTAATTAGTAATATAGTTTGGCAGACTGCATTCGCTCAGAATTATTTTAAATTGTTTCTAAACATAAATTGAGTAAATTATATTATAAAATAAGTAAATAGTGTTATAAATTATATCGCCTTAATAGCTGTTATTAACGTATGACTTAATGCTGTAGGATTGTGTAAATTGATTCGTCATATAAATAGCTTAAAATGAATACATATATTTTTAAAATTGGTTGTGTACTGACGTATTGTACATTTTTAGAATAATTAACTTACTTGATGGTGAAAAGTTTCAAGCACTGACGAATAATGTTTTATGACTTACAACAAATAATAATTAAAATCGTTACTTTTTGGCTGGAGAGTGTTTTATAAAATAATACAGTATAATATTATACCTACCATAACGACTTAATTTATTTAATAATAAATGTAACATATGTATAATTATGTATTTTTATGTAATATGTTCTGTATTTTTTTTACAATAAGAAAAAACCACGAAACTCTTATAAAGAAATCACTGTGTTAATTTTTGTTTTAGTTAGAAATACTTATTTATGAAAATTATAATTTGTTTGTCTAACGTTAATTTTCCTAGATATTTAAGAAATAATTAATAAACAATAATATTGGAACAAATGTAGTTTAGTTTATAAGCAATTTTTGTGATTTGTTTTCCACATTGTGAGTTTTCGCATGCTTAATTTGTAAATAATGGTCATACAACTTGAAAACTTCAAAATCTTGTTTTTAAATGTATAGTTGCAACAAAAACATATTAGGTATATCATTCTTTGCATGGTATCGTAATGTTTTTGGTTTTTTCAATGAACCTACATTAATATGTTGATAACATGTTTTGTCTAAGATAAAAAAAGCTTTAAAATTCAATACAAGTTACACTTTTACACCAGTTTCAAAAAAAAACTGAAGTATACCTGTATAATATAGAAACAATTTCTACAAACCACATAAATAATTTTACTGAAGTGCGTTCGTTAATAATAATATAATACATATCAAATAAAAACCAATTAAATAACATAACAAAAACGTTAATTTGTGTTATTCTACAAAGGATTATGACAGTATACTATCTTATTGTTTACAGGTATATTTGTTTAAACTTAAACACGTCCACAAAAACATCCCCTTTGGTTTGAGGCTAGAACAGCTCAACATTAATGTCCAACTCACGGTTAGTATTCTGCCGGCAGACGGAAGATGTGTTCGGCAAAGTGTGGACATCCGACGTCGGCATGGTACACAAAATATGTAGGTAAATCGATTTTCATTATGTACAATTATTTTGCATTCAATTCAAATTTAGAGTATCTATTACTGTGACCGGCTCGTTTCCGAGGTACACTCAGCACCCATAGGTACTATAATACAGACAATTCCCCATTTTTCCTCCATTTATTAGAACTATTTCTTTGGGATTTTTTACAGTTCACCACATAACATAATACCGCGAACGAATCGAATTTCACATGTGAATGATTATTTTTATCCATTTAGAGTTGAGTTTGCCAACTCGACACCGCGACCGCACCGATTCATCGTCGTCACGTTGTATAACGATGTGTGCGACAACGACGAAGACGACGACGACGGCGTAATAATAATATTTATATCGTCGATGACGCGACCACAAGTCCGCAGCTGTATGCCACGATTACGCATCCATTTTCACGGAATAGAATTTTTCAAACTGTTTCGTTTCTGGTAAATCGTCTATGTTTATAATTCATATAAATACTATACAGATAGAATTGGTTGATGTGGAAATAAGATACTCGTTTTGATTTTTTTTTTTTAATTGTTATCAATTAAGTAACTATGAAAGCCTCTATCACATTGAGTGAATTCCCTTGCTACTAGTCAGCGAATCAAGTCATGTAAGACTAAGCATTTATAGCGGCTAGTCGGATTACACGTCCTGAGGTTTTCAACTATTTCGTTGCCTCATTCAAGAACTGTAGCTAGCCACTAAAAAAGTAGTCGGTTAGGAACTAATAAATACTAGAACACTAGATTTTATTACCCATCATGTGTCCGAATCAATTACTAAATGTGATTTCACTCACCAAAGAGTGAAGTACCCAGGTTGTCAATTTAATTTACGGTTGGGCTTCGAGTTTTCAAAACGCGGTGAGTAGGCGACTAGGTGTAACCGAGTGAGTATTTTTGGTGGCAGTGAGTAAATTCGACTTATGCAATCAAGGCTTAAAAGTAAATATACCATGTACTTAAGAACCCGTAAAATATATTAATGTACGTCATTTGCTTATTTTTGAAAGGACTCTAAAAAAAACATTAAAAATGATTATAATTCAACAAGTATAAAATGCACAAAAGGATTTACAAGACGTTTTCTGTACTGGAAGTTTGTTATTTTGTCTCGTAAATATACGAAATTAAATTAACATAATTATTTGCGTGGACTATAACACCATATTACAAGTATTTTATTAACAATAAAATATAATAGATATATATAAGAATAACAATTTTTTATCGTAAATAGAATAAACTATCGTTCATGATGTAATGGACGTATTGTTTTCAATAACTCAAAAAGTCAAATCATAGCTGTGATTGAGAATGTCACAAGAATCTTTTATAATAAATTCTGGAATATTATAAGCTACAGTAACCTGGAGACAAGTATTTGCCAGGGCTTTGATATTAAAGTATTTGCATGTTTTTCGATAATATATAAAATAAATTAAATCCTTTTTTCCGCTGTTTAACCGATAGCAGAGGAAGCTCTGTTTCAACAATACTACTTCTCTGCTGCCATCGTTTATCGATGTATAAAATTAACAAATACATATAATATACAATACAGAAAAAAAATTAAACCTACTATATATAGGTACAAGTGAAAATAATAAATTATATTTAGCATAGTAAAATAATTTATAAGTAATTTACAAAGCCATCGATACCAATAATGTTATTTGTATATACCTTAATTGGATGTATTTTATTATTTATATTTATATTATTTAAAATAAGCTTTTATAATTATTCAGTTGTATTTTTTTAAATTGCATTAAAAAATGGATATTTTCTTTAACTTTTTTATAAACTTCAAATTGTATGTTCACATATTTTTGAATATCTAGACCCCAGAGCATAGATTAATGCTTATTTTGCCAATTTTCAAAATGGTAACATGTTTATTAATTTAATTTAAATTCAAAGCCCTAATTATTATTAGGTACTTATCTGCTACATATTGCAGTTTTTAACCGAAAATACCATTAGAACTAATACCTACATAAGATAAATATTAATAGTTTATGCGGTTAAGCTGCACATACGTCATCGACGATGTTGTATTTTTATATTATATAATACTTACTGCGATGACGACGATGAGAAAT